TTGGAGACATTTTCAGCTTCGAATTCAATACTTGTCTGACTTTATTAGCACCATAAAATATGAAAATTATAAGCCAAAAAACATAGTGATCTACAAAACATCACAGCAAGCACAGTCAGATCATTTTTATCCACAGATATGCAGTCTCTTCTTCAAACCTCTTCTCTGATTTTACTCTGTGTTGAATGGAGTGACATCACATGAGGTGCTTTAACAAAGTGGCTTTTGAATTTACGGCCCATGAGGAACATATATTAAAACAAAAAATCCAGCCGTATTTTATCCTAAGAGTACTTTGATAGAGGAAATGTTGTAGAATTTCACTTGCGGCTCTGTTAGGAGGGGAAAAAAAACTAGATGGCCATGCATGTTAAAAGCCTATGTGCCATCAAAGCCCCTTGGGCTACAAAGGGCTCTTTTAGCAAATGGATGGCAACAGCTGCAAACTCTGGGCTGTTCTTAATGTGCACGGTGCAGATGTCTGCACTTGAGTCCCACAGTCTGAGACAGATCTGTCTGGCTCTACACTGGGCCTCTCTCATCATATCACTGTAGCTTCATTAAGCACTGAACTCAATATCAACATCTGCCTGACAGTTTTTGCTCTCCAATTAAAGGATAACCTCACTAAAAGATACAGTATTAACCATTGCATATACTTGTTATAAACTGTATGTATCCTGTTATCTATCTTGTGTTAGCCTCACATAAAATGATTATCAGTGTACAACACCGTAGCCCTTTTCTCACAGGTGGAAGCTGGTTTGGCGACAATGAATTGAATGAATAAATTTTATCACCAGATTCTTCTTATTCTCTGGCACGAACTAGAGCATACAATGGAGGGAAACATGGCTGCATCCAAAGAGAATCATACAGCATTAGCACTGCAGCCGCCTCTGTAGCCTTTTAATTCTGAAAACTGGAACGACAATGTAGAGCTGAATATTTGATGCTGTAATGCAAAACTGTGGCTCTGTTTAATGGCTGAATGCCTGAACACTCTCCAGCAATATGTGGATTTAAATATTGTCCTAAGAAGGTCTATAATAGTTTAAGGTGAAGAAAGTTTATTTGCGGAACAAACCATTTATGTCTTACAGGCTCACAGGAAGTGAAAAAAAATCCAAATAAGCACCTGGAAGAGCGACAGGGATACATTACTGATCAAAGCTATTGGGAAAGAGCTGCAATTACCAAAATCAATACACAGTGATAAGAAATGCGTTGCAGTCATGAACCATAATTCAATCAGATAACACACATCTATCCAATCAGTGAACTGGGACAGAACATTGTTGACTATTGAACTCATTTAATGCTTAAAACAAATACAAGTTACTTCACTGGGTCATCACAATTGAACAAGAGATTTTTTTTCATATTTGTAACACCCTCAGAAATATACATTCACATGGCTGCATACAGACAATTTTCTCTCTTTTGATTTTCTTTCAATAACATTAAATCGACAAATTGTATGCATCACCCCTTTGTATGACAGTGAAGCCGCTAGTGGCATATTAAAAACGTACTGGAGGAGCATTTTTAGGTGGGACTTTGGAAATAAGCTATGCATCAACTTCATCTAGCCATCATCAAGTCTCTATGTTTGCAGTCAAAATAGGTATATTTTACATGAACAGAGTCCCTACGCAGTTGTCCCTAAATAAATCCCGACTATAATCTCAACCCTATGTACAGTATTTACAGTGGAATGTTGAACATACTGAATACAAAAAGTAGATTAGGATGGAATGAAGTTACAGTCAGTATTACAAAATAGAAACTCATAACACCCCAACAACATGAAGACAATGTTTACATCTACCAGAATACAGAATGTCGACTTAACTCTGAAAGGGTTTTCTTTCTCCAACATGTCTGAGAAGCAAGTGTGGCAGTGGTTTCATAATGGCTGCAGAAAAAAAGTGAAATGAAACCCTTAACTTGTGCTTTAAAAGGGGGGCAGAGTTGATCTTTGCTTTGCGCCAAAGTTACATTTTTCTTTTTTCTTTACTCAGTTAAATCTCTTGTCACTGCGTTGCAATTGTTGTGCTTAGAAGAGTCAACGATGTGCGACTAAGTTGCAAAAGTTCTTTATAGATCTCTTTAGGACTTTAGTATTGAGAGGGAAAAAAGTGCTGTATCACTATTTATCCATCAGTAAAGTTTAAAATGGCAATGAATTCAGCTTTTAAGAGATCAATCGATTTAAAGATAAAGATCAATTTTTAGCACTGTGCTGAAGTTCAGATGGAAATGTATCCCCACTATACTAACTGAAATTCACTGCAAGTAAAGAACCATCATGTGTCTGATCTGAGGAGGTTTGCAGCCCATGTCATATTTCAATATTATTTATCATTTCAATATTATTTATCATGTTATTCTATGGCATGAATAACTCAAATGATGGAGCAGCAACCGTTCAGACTACCTCTCCTGACTTTGATAGGCACTGAATGCAAGAATAAAAGATAAAAACATGCTTTTCACGCGTTATTCTCCATAATGCTGTGATGCAAACTATGCGGAATTTAAAAGCTACAGCAAAGCAGTTCATCGGCAGGTGAAGAATAAACTAAAGGCTGTGAAACTGTCATTTGTTTTTGCACTTTGAAAGTAGCAACCCTGCCTCTGAAACTGTCTGTAGCAAACCTCAAGTCTCCCACTGTAGAAATAAGGCTGTAGAAAGTGAAACTAAACTAAAATGTAATCAAAAGACTTTTAATAAGAACATGATATTCCCCACTTTGTAATGTTAATTTGTGTTGAAAATGCAATATAAATTGAGGCTCATGATTAACATGCTCATCTAAAAACATACAGTAGACAAGCATGAATTGTAAAACATTCACATCTCCAGCCGGCAGAGAGATCTGCTCTCAGAGATGTTATTTTTTCACCTTTATTTATATATATATTTATATACTTTTTGTGTGTTAACTGCAATATTGTTGCTGGGTACTGTGTGCCCAAAAACTCATACCTCTGTCAATACTGACAACACTAACAAAGTGTCATCTTTTGAGCTGCAAATGAGGACAAACGCACTGGAATTGATACAGAAAAAATAGCAACATACGCACATCCACTCCAACACAAAAAACATGCATAAAATAAGGCTTAATATAGTATTTATACTGTTCAGAGCCAGTCAGATATGTCGTTTATATCCATGGATTTACTCCTTTGCTTCTGTTTTATCCCATATTTCACACTGAACTTTTTTGTTTGAAGCAAATGCATTTTGCTGATTGTATAATGGACCTCAATGCTGAGGAGAGAAACAAGTAATTTGCTATGCTACAGTAGCATCCACTGGCACTTGTTAACAGTGATTTAAAAAGCCATATATATATATATAATGCCTTCAGAGAGGGTCATTGTATCTCAATTGGCAGGTTCAGATGCCAACATCAGGGGAAGGACAACCATTCATTCCTTTAAAATCCCCCAAACAGCTATTGAAATTAATTTCAGAAAGAAAAAAAGGAGATGAAACAAAAACATCATGAAAGCAGCAGGTGACTTATTATACTCTAGCATGGCCACCGTCAAAATTCCCTTTACATATTAAAATGTTTTCTCTGTAGATGTACATAAAAACATTAGTTGACATTTTCCTCCTATCCATGTCCTTTGTGTCCATGGATGACTCCTCATAGCAAATGCTGTTGGTATAAGCAAGGAGGTTTAAGCCAATTCTTCAGTACACAGTCACCACAGTTATAACGAGACACAATCATCATTGGGAAAATCCCCAGATACCTTTCTCTGACATCCATTTGATAAAAGAAGGGTTAGAACAAAACATAATTGTAACAATTCAACACAAAAATGTCATTATAGTGGTAAGATTGAGAGCTCGTGTACACAGGTTAACCTGTTCAAGTCAAGTGACAATCATGACATTTCAGAGCATTATTAAAGGTTTCCGTGGACACCAAGACTCACCAAAGCTCTTTTTTGGACACGATTGTGACACACCACTGAAAAGTAGAAATTTTTGTGTATGATACAATTGCAGCCCTTCTCTGCCTTGCTATTCTGATTCACTGATGTGGAAACTAATTTAATGAGACTGAAATTTAGGCAAAAAACACTCAACATTTATCTGTTACTGCCATGTCCATATGGCTCAGTAGACTGACTCCCTCTCAGTAAAGAAACTCATCAAGCAAATAAACACAGGGGGTTAAGAAGAAATACTAAGCATGTCTTTGGAAAACAGCATTAACGTGTCTGCTTTTAATGCTGTAAATATACAAAGATTAGTAATTTCATGAGCTCTAACCCCAGTGAGAAATGATACAGGTCCTGTATGGCATTTTTTTTTTTCTCTTTCTCAGAAACATTTGACCACAAAATTACAAACACTTAGAACTCCACCTGCAATTATGTCAGACATTTAACTCTCAATTCTCTGGTCACTTAAAAATCATACAAAAAGACATTATAAAAATAACAAAACGGCAATGGTAATGGAAAAAAACCCAAATTGCACATCCAGTGTAGGACTTTCACAAATGTGCTCAGCAAAACCTCAACCTGCAGTCTCTTTTTATACATTTAATACATTTATAACATGAAAAAATACACAAAAAGAATATTACACCAGTATTAATCAACCGATCACCTCGCTGACCTCGTAGGTCAGTGACAACGAGTCCATTTACATACCTTAGTTTGTATTCTTTGCCCATTCACCTGATGGAACTGATACCAATGCTGACATGTTGAGAAGTTGATGTTGCTAGCACTTTAAATAGACGCTTGATTTTCTAAATGAGATTAGTTGGATGGGGTCTGATGTGGGGGGGGGAGTCCATGGGGAAGGGGGTAGCTAGGTTGACCAAAGAGAAGGGACTGTGAAGGGTGCTGTTGACCCAAATGG